GCCAACTAGGAAACATTTTAGGTTGTAAACATAATATTTGTGAAGTCCGGCAAAATTTTCAGTTGGAAAGTCTTCAACTACTGCCAGTACTTATGAGCAATCAATATTTATTTCCAGACCTCGGAAGGTCTACATGTTTGATGGCGGAGAGCTGTACTCCCAGCTCTTGTATTTATACGTTGTTCTGCGCATATAAGAAGTCACAAACCATTAGCGCATCTTGAATGATCAGGCTACTTGTTTTTCAACGCACGGTGAGTGAAGCAGCGTGCCCGAACTCGCACGCCGCAGTTGCGCGCGTGCGAGTTCGCGCAAGTCAAAAGAACACTGGCTAAAGGGACAATGATCACTCTAGTTGCCGAATCTTTCGTGCTGTCAGTTTTCTAAACGCGAAGCAGAGGTTAGTACAGAAAGTTCATGAGCAGTCTATACCTCGCGCCAGCTACTTCAAGCGACGCAGCAGCCTCCCCTTTAACCTTCTCTTCAAAATGAAGCAATAAATGTGATGCCGTGATGCTGTTTTTTTTTCAACTGTCAGTTATTGGCCCTGGAAAGTGAGAGGCGGATGTGTAACAAGGCATAGCCGCTTCACAGGCCTTCCGACACCAGAGCCGTCAGCGATGGCCTTATTATAGCTCTGCGTATTAAAACCGAATTGTGGCTGCTCCAACCAGGAGACATGCCCTTATAAATGAGATGATAAATGAAATGAGATAAATGAGATGATATTTAAAAAGAAAGCGGGCGAGAGTTTTCGATTCGGACCCAGCAACCTCGAGTTTGAAAGGGCAGTGTCCTTTAGCGACTTTTACCGCCACAGCGATTATAAACGTGGATGTACGAACTGGTAGAAGGAAGTGCGAAACAACTCTTTTGCATGATGATCCATTAATAAAGCATATTAGAGGAAAAGTGTCAACCTGTTTGCACCATTTATGTGTTCTGCGGACGCGAAGCATGAAAAATTAGATGTGCAAACGTAGACGTGACAGACATTCTGGTGGCACACGTGCAGTAATTAGTGAAAATTGCTTTATTCAAACGAGCTATTGGCAGCATTTCTAGAACAGACGACGTCCACCTATGAATTGCCACCACAGTTTCACGCTACCGATTCGACTAGACGTCGGGAGCCCCTGCAGACAGCGCGTTTCGCCAATAAGCAAACTTGCACAACCGAGTTGCGTCGGCACCAAACATAGCATCTCGGATTTTAGGATGCACACGCGACCGCTGTTTATTGAGCTATTTTTTGTAATAAAATAGGTACACAATTGTGACTGGTGGCCCCCAGAACAAGGTGCACATGTATTAACGTGCCGGCTTAGCTGTTGCCGGTGATAGACCATCCCGAATCAAACTTTGGCGCAGTTTGGCACAATTTCCGTTCATATTATCAGGATAGTGCAGTATATCTGATTTGGCACACTTTGGCGCTGTTGGCTCGAAAATGGAATCACTGGATGTTGTGTATAGAGGTGGCATTTCGGATGCAAGGGCAGTGCTGAAGAGGTACTGCTGTTCTGCATGAGAAGTGCTTGTGGGCAGTTGGAGAACTGGGGAGTGAGCCATAACGTGCCAAGAAACAGATGACTTCAGCATAGATCCCAAGCATGTACACAAGTGTGTGAAGCACTTTCATTCATTGTACATAATCAATGTGAAATATTTGACAATAAACGGAGACACCGTATCGTTGCCAAGAGACAAGCCGTGTCTCAAGTCTCACGTCATTTCTCGTGTGTTCGAGGGCCTACCAACATAATTAATGAATCTCTGAGGTCGTGACCATGGACAGTTTGTATGCCACTGAAACCAATTAAACGAGCTCGACAGCCATCACGTGCAAGAAGAGTTTAAAGCCATAATAAATGGGCCAATAGCTACTCATAACGACGAAGACAAGATGCAAGATTTCTGTGTCAATACTCCATTACATTACCTTTAAATTTACGCTACCTCAGTGCGTAGTGAAGGCCATAATCATCTCAATTCTCAGAAGCATCTGCATGGCTTGATTTCTCTATAAGAAAGACCAAAATAACCATCCTATTAGGTATCCTGATTCACGAAGTCAGTATGGCATTGATATGCAACCGTGCGTCAATACTTGTGACACTGCTCATGCAAGATAGAAAATAAGAAGCGCAATGTGGATTCAGGGAGACAATAATTTATGGGTTTTCATCGGGAATATTGAGAACAAAAAGTAGTGCAAGGAAACTGTGCCACATAATCGCACTGATATAAACAAAACTAGCAATGATATCGAGGCTCAAAGATGTCCTTTCCCATCAAGCAACCGTTTCATTTACGGCTGCAATTGGCCGATGAATTAGTTCTCACGTGCTAGAATAATTTCCGTTATATAAAATTATTTTGTCAGTAATGCTAGAATGACACGCATGCAATGGAAAATTCGGGCAATAAAAATGCATGACCTTCAGCTCAGGTTATGCATTTAATGGTAACGCCACTGATGTCTTGTCTGTAAATAAAATTACTGCGATGTCAATATTTTTTTATTATTATTTGAAGCCTGTTGGGCCAACTAAAGAAAAATTTCACAGCAACAAAAGATATACATACGCATTGTCTGCTAGCATGCTGACCCACCAGCTAAATTTGAAATTGTATAGAATTTTTCTTCAGTACAATAACATTACTAGAAATTCCAAGTTTAGTTCATTTATTTGCTACATCAAAAAACAGAATTTAAATATTGTCTTTAAAAAAAAATGTGACCTCCGGCCACGTCGTATCAGAACAGAAAATACAAGCGTCGCCTGCTGCGGCCACTTCTCTAGGTGGCCTTTCTTTTATACTGTGGCACAGCGAGTGGCCACCACTAGCTCTATGTTAAACTGAAACGACAGTTTCATGACCAGAAATGCTGTTGACGGACTATAATGATAGGTAATGCTGTAGGTCTGGTTTTGCCGCAACAGAGGCTATACCACTGCATTCGTTGCCGTAAGGTGGAGGGACACTCCTTGATGAAAACACATTAAAACTTTATTAATTCAGCCCAATCATTTCAAAATCCCGCTTAATTCGAAAGATTTCTATCGCCATGTACTTTGCAATACAAGTTTCAGGGGATAATTTGAAGCGGCGGGGAGCCCGAGCCCGATTAATTCGAAAACTGTGTGCCACGAGCAGATTCCCGATCCAGATTTCACCGTATATCCACAAAAAAAATGGCAGCCCTTAGGAGCCACAAAGCAATGCAGTGCAGTGATACTAATGAGTGACAGATGAAGCACTCCAGTAATCCTTCCGCAAGCGCAAAAAAAAAAAAGTGGTGAGGAGGGGGTGTGTCTTGTGATCGATTTAAATGTGCACCAGCGGAAAAGACGTGCTTCACTGCACTACAGTAGTGACACACGCGAACAGCACATCGCATACTTCTCTGAACATCAGCTCAAACAAAGGTCAGACTGATGCAATTCGTGATGTATGCGAACTTCCGGTTGGCAGTTGCTTCAGCAATTTGAGCACTTGCACTGCCGGTGAAGTTCTTGCCTAGAACGCCTACTTCAAAAACTCAGCTGGAAAACTTCAATGATCATTTTTTCCACCAAAACACACAGAATATTCAGTCACACTGGTCATTGTTAAATAATTTTATGTACCAGAAAACCAGTCTCACCACGACGTGCTGACGCAGAGTTAAGCAGATGACATGATGCCCACGTGTCACCATTATGTTGCAGAGAAGCATATCTTCTGCAAGCGCACATTTTAGCTGACCACCATGTCCTCCTAAGCCACTGACAAGCAGTGGTGCCCAAGTTCACCAGTGGTTGTGGCGAAATTGGGCCCAAGTATTGTGAGAAAACATCACCCTTGGAGCTGCAAACTAGCTGGCCCGTCAAACAACCACCTCCGATTACTTTTGACATATGAAAATTCCTTGCATCCCACTTTTTGTACACTTTAATAATTTGAAAACCAGCTTAATTTGAAGGCTTTTCACAGTCCCAGTGACTTCGAATTGATGAGGTTTTACTGTAAGGCAGCTATGGCATAAACGCACAATTAGCAGGAGATAAACGAGCTTCCCCAGGCCACGCGTAATTCAAGTCTGAAACATGTTGAAGTTACAATTTGTAGTACATTATTCTTCGGCAATTGAAAAGCAGCCATTATAAGCTGTGAGCAGACTATAAAAAAGACGCTCTAAATTTGCTTTTTTTTTTTTCATTTCTGAGTGGCCTTACAGTTTACTTTCACTGTTTTCCAACTTGGACATCAGTAAATAACTGAATCTAAGCACTGTACCCCACAGCTCAGTTACTACCGAACACCTGCTGCTGTGGCTTGATGGCCATACCTCTGCAGTGATAAGCAAACAGGTGTCAGTACAATTCTTGCGGTGGTGGCTGCATTCTGACAAAGGCAGACTGCAAAATACATGTGAACTTAGATTTGGATGTCCACTGCAGGACGAAGGGCTTTCAAACTTGACCTTGTCCTGGGTGAGCCGATTCGGTCTTATGCCCGCAAATTTCTTATCTTTGTCACTCAACTGAACCCTTTTCCATTCTCGGGTGTGCTTCGTATTTTATGGTATGCACGGTCAAAATGAATGAGTTTTCGTCAAAGGTATGCATCATGACGAGAATAACGAGATTCCAGGTTTGAGAAGGAAAAGAGCGGAATGTATTCCTGTTTAACACGCCAAACAGTTTCCACAACAGATACGACCTCATCTACTCCAAGTTTCTTCTGCAGCTTTATAATGATAACACCAGAGAACTCTACAAAAGTAAGCAATGATAACACCAGAGAACTCTACAAAAGTAAGCCAAATGTCATACATTTGATACCACACAAAATGGCTTTGTTATACAATTCAATAATTGTTTTAAGTATATATGTACTGTGGAAAAACATTTTTAACCGTTATATTCCATAGTTTGTTTTTTGACGTCCGTTTTGTTAAAGACTGGTTGTACCAGCTTCAACTTATTAGGAAAAAGTGCACACAAGCTTACCTTTCGATGTTTTGTGAGAAGTAGGAAAGCAACCAAGCTTGTGCTCATCAATGTAAGAGATGCTGTCGACTCTGAATAAAATATGCATCAATAAATTTAAAACCGAAAATATTCAATCTAGTCCTCATACAGAGCTAGATGAAAACTCACGGTGAACAACATGGTTGGCAAGGCTTTTAATAGCCGCTCGAGTCTCTTCAGAAGTGCCGTCTGGACTGGATAGTGAGGTTGTACTCGTGCACTCATTGTACTTGACTGTTCTTGAGTCTTTTGCAGCTTCCAGCAAAGAAAGAGGGCAGTCAAAGTATAGTGGCGCGGAAGACGAAATTCTGGCACGGTTGAGGAACTCCTACAATGATATGCACACAAATAGAATAAATAATTAACAGGCTGCCAATAATAGGTTTTTATCAAACGGTGCAATAAGGCAATGCTACTGAAGACCCTACCATCAGAGAGAATGGCTGACAGAAATCGACACGAACGGCACCATAGTTGGAATGTAATATCTTCCAGATGGAAGTGAGTGCTGCTGTGAATGTCTCCATCACCTTTGGCTCTCCCTGGAAGTAGACAAGGAGAAATCGGGAAACTGAAAGAAAATGCTGAATAAAGAACAAAAAACAGAACAACTAAACTAACCAACTGCTCACTGACAAAGTTTCCATCCAACAACTTCTCATAGCTGATAGAAATGGGTACTATAAGAATGTCTTTCCAAGGCTCTGAAAAAAGAAAAAAAAAACACCATACAACCACAGAATATGGATATCACTTTAAATGAAATGTTTCACCATGTACAGTAGCGATTAAGAATACATGAATGAAAAAAAAAAGAATTAATGCCTACCCTCATAGAAAGAGTCAACGATGACTGACAGGAGACCTGCTTTGGGGAGGCGAGTTTTCCCAGTTCGTGATCGCCCTCCTTCGAGGAAGAACTCCAAGCTATGGTTCGCCATCAAGATCTCTTTCATGTACTGAAACAGTGCAATAGTGACAGTATGTAAGGGCTATTGCCTTCACTTCCGTGAACATGTGGCTTTAAAAGGACGTCCAGCTGAAATAATGGCCTCGATTTGAAGCCCAGCACTAAATGAGCACTCATCATTGTGAAGGTAGAAACCCAACCAATTTCATAAACTTTAAGGAAATGCTGCCAACAAGCTATAAATCACCACATTGTAGACTGGCATCACTATAGTTTTTGCTAATAACTTGATATCTTCTATATACACTATTATAAAAAGGCTCCTGTAATTATCAATAATTAAAACAAGTAAATGATCAAACACTGTTTTGCTGCCAGCGTCACTTACCTGCCTGTGCCCTTCAAGAATGCTTTCTTAGGCTCAACCAATACATCTGTTCACTTGCATAATTAACACCTGATGATATGTGGGGTTTAACGTCCCAAAACCACTCTATGATTATGAGAGACGCCGTAGTGGAGGGCTCCGGAAATTTAGACCACCTGGGGTTCTGTAACACCTAACTACAAAGCAACCAAGCACTGTACTGCCACAAAATTTAAAAGCTAGATCAGCCAAGCACTTCTGAAATTCGCAGAAGCAGTGAGGTGCAAACCAAGTGAAAGTGCAGTAGTATATGCCAGAGTCTTCCAACCAATACTTTCAATACCGGTTATGAAGATCCGCCATAACTAGATGAGGGAACTTTCAGTGCTGCAAGCGGACGCCGCAGGCAGACGGCAGCACTGAACCCAGCTGCCAGTGTCACTGCTAAATACCGTGGCATGTCACCATGCAGTTTTCACCGTATATCTGCTATTGTGCCGAGTAAGTTACATCCGAAGATTGGATAGAATGCCACGTATGTTCTGCATACCTAGGTGTCAATCCAGTTACTAGGGAAATGACAAAAAGCATGCTATATTGCAACAAAAAACTGGTGGTTTCACATTTAATTACCCACAAGTACGTGTGTGCGAAAAGTACTTCTATGAACAAGATCTTTCACATGGACCAGTGGCTAATCGGAGGAGTTGTGAAGCCACTGCGTGACGTTTCGAAACTTTCCCCAGATGTTGTACCGAGAAATTTCCAAGGAATCCCGGCCTATTTGACTAGTGCAAAACATAGCTCACCCGCCCACAAAGCACTGCCAGGAACTGTGAGCCGAGCTGAAAACCGTCGATGCTACACAAACACTGTGCATGAGCCCCTTAGACACAGCTGCCCGAGATAATGATGCAGTTAACGAAGATGAGCATATTGACCGCTTCTTCCTCGTTGCATGCCAGTAATACAAAAGTTCGACGAGCGAAATGTTCTTCATTTCCCTTTACACAGGCACTGAGATGACCAAAATTGTAGAGGTATCAGGCCAAACAGACGGAGCTACATGCAGCTCCTCACAGCTTCAAAAAAATTCAAGGCTCACATCCGTTGCTTGGAAGAGAGACTTCGGCGCTGCCAATTGAAACTTAGTAGGGTGACAGTGCAAGAGAGGATGGACCAAAAACTGCAAAACTTGCACAAGCTGTCAAAGCATGAAAAGTTCATTTCCGATCAATGAATCTTGAGCACTAGAGAAAATAACTTTGTGAATAAGTTGTTGATGCCGCCAGTCAATTTTTTCACTTGACGGGGTATCTAAGGCTTTTGCCTTAACAGTTAAAACAATAAAAAAGGGCAGGTGAAACACAGCGTGGGTAAACTACACAGCACAGTAAAGAAGGACTGGAAAACTACATTGCATGAGCAGCTGAACTACAAACATGCTACGGCACCATAGCGATAAATCAATGCAAAACAAGACACGAAAACCAGGTAAAAGCCATATGAAGTATTCCTTGATCCTCATCAACCACTAAATTCAAAGCACAGATTCACTCCATTGGCTGTTGGTTCAATAAATACGGGGCTATTTAAGGATCTTTTCATATACTAACACCAAATGTACATATGCTAGCCTGAAAAGATTTGATATGCACTGTGAAGTGCACCTCCCCGATGCCCCAGAGTCCTTATCGTCCAGAAATTTTCGCTAGATGCTTCATGAAAAAGCAAAAGCGATTTTATATTGGTAGCTTATCTCACAGTGGAGGCAGCACGAGTTTGTTGCCATCAAACTTCTTTCTAGCTTCCGGGCCTTCTTCAATGCCAAATTTCACTGTATTAGAGCTTTCCCGAATTTCCTTGAAGGTAACATATCTAAAATATAAATATAAATATAAAAATATAAATATCCTAAAAATGTAAATATCCTTCAAAGGTACATTTAATCATGTTTTGCATTTCAGGCACCTGCCATACAATTGCAACGTCGGTGCTGATCCACTACCTACGCACGGGCGAGAGTGCTCCTACGATGATGATGTTTGATGTTTTGTGGCGCAAGGGCCATTTCATGGCCAAAGAGCGCCAGTTCATCTTACTAAAAACATGGACAATGATTGTGATAAGCGGCTGTATAAGGGCCATAAAATTCCTCGCGGTAAGGCGGGTAAAAACATACAAGTAATAAAATCATGACAATGCTGTGAAAGGTGTGTGTGGTGTGAATAGGTGACAAAAGTTGGTGATAATGAAAAACAATGGTGGACATGTATGGCTTTAGCCCAAGTACCTCACTCGTTCATACCCTTGCGTCCAAGGGCCGTGAGGCAAGTGCTTTCTTGTGTAGCCACCGCAGCAAAAACCTCTCTGGAGAGGTCATGCTACGGAATGCCCGGGTATATCATATGAAAATTATGAATTTCTTTTAAAAACGCTAACAATGATTTATGACTAAAAAGCGGTTCCCTATCGACGAACATTGCAGGGTGCAATGGTATATGTTGTCGGTAGAGTAATGGAAAATGTTGTTTTCTTAGAGTTTCTAAGTGTTTGCACTGGATTAACATGTGAAGGACTGTTAATGCTTCACCAGATCTGTCACACAATGATGGATTGCCACCGGACAAAAGATGTGTGTGTTGTGTATGTGTGTCCCATCACGAGTCTCGTTAGTATTACCTCTGTATGACGCGATTTTGATACTGGCAGCCAATGACCAAGGTGTGGCTTAATAATGTGTAGTTTGTTTTGTGTGTGTATCCCACTTGCTCTGCCAGTAGTCCCTGAGGTTTGGTTTGAGAGACGGCTTAAGATCAAGGGCCGAGATTGATATGGGTGTAGGGGCAGTGCTTTTGTGGACAGATGCAGCGAGCTGATCCGCCCTCACGTTGCCTTGGATCTCACGGTGCCCTGGCACCCAGCACACTACAACATGTTGTTTGAGTGTGTAGAGTGTGCACAATATGGAGTAAAGTGAGACAAGGACTGGGTTTTTTTGTTTTTTAAGAATGTGCAGAGCCGTTACCACACTGAGGGAGTCCGTACAATCAGTGCTTTTTGTGTTTGTAATTGCTTGATATGTTTAGCCGCCACAAGTATCGCATAAGCTTCCGCTATGAAGATACTTGTGCCTGGATGTAGAGGGCCAGCATCCGAAAAGGATGGGCCGACAGCAGCGTAGGACACAGAGGAGTTAGACTTGGAGGCATCTGTAAAGAACTCATTACGTGTGTATTTGTGTTGAAGTTCCAGGAAGTATGTTCGGATATGGGCAATAGGCGCATGTTTTGTAACTTCTAGAAAAGACACATCGCAGTCTATAGGTGGCGGGTATGCTACAGGAGCCATTAAACTGTGTTCAAGTGACACTCCACAGTTTCCTCAGCTAGACCCTTCAGGCGAACTGAGAAGGGCTGCCTCATCGAAGGCCTGTTTTGAAACAGAATGGAGCTCGACAAATCATTAATAGTAGAGTATGAGGGGTGCTTCTTGTCTGCTTTTACCTTAAGGAAATAAACAAAGGACATGTAAGTTCTCTGCAGATGAAGCGACCACTCATTTGACTCAACATAAAGGCTTTCTATGGGGCTGGTGCGAAAAGCACCCGTAGAAAGGCGGATGCCCAAATGGTGCACGGGGTCCAGCATCTTCAAAGCACTTTGAGTCGCAGACTGATAAACAACGGCCCCATAATCTAAGCGGGTGCGAATGAGGCTTCTATACAGGTTCATGAGACATTGCCCGTCACTACCCCACGTAGTACATGACAACACTTTTAAAACATTCATGACTTTTAAACATTTTGTTTTTAAATACTTGATGTGCGGTACGAAGGTCAACTTGTTGTCCAAGATTAAGCCCAAGAATTTATCCTCCGCATTAACAGACAGACGTTGACCGTTCAGTTCAATGACGGGTTCCGAGTGCATGCCTCTCTTTCGGGAGAACAAGACACACATGCTTTTTTGTGGGTTCAGTCGGAATCCGTTTTCCTCTGCCCATTTGGAGACCTTGTTTAAACCTAACTGAACCTGCCACTCACACATTGCCAGATTGCAAGATCTAAAGCCAAGCTGGACGTCATCGACATATGTACAATAAAACATATTGCGAGGGATGGACAAGCGCAAGGAATTCATTTTGATGAGAAAAAGTGTGCAGCTAAGTACACCACCTTGTGGCACGCCCGTTTCCTGGACAAATGTTTGGGAAAGAACCGTGCCCACTCGGACACGGAATGTCCGGTTTGACAGGTAACTTTCGATTATGTGAAACATTCTTCCGTGCACGCCAAGGTGGGACAGGTCTCTTAGAATTCCAAAACGCCATGTTGTATAAGCCTTTTCAATATCGAGGAACACAGAGAGAAAATACTGTTTATGGACGAAGGCGTCTCTGATCTGTGCCTCGATACGAACAAGGTGGTCTGTGGTGGATCTACTCTCTCGAAACCCGCACTGAAATGGGTCGAGCAAATTGTTTCAAGGAAATGTACAAGTCGGCAGTTTATCATTTTTTCGAAGACTTTGCACAAGCAGCTTGGAAGTGCAATAGGCCTATAGCTCAAAGCTAAAGAAGGATCCTTGCCCTCTTTCAAAATGGGAATAATAATAGCCTCTTTCCAAGAAGTAGGGATAGTGCCAGAAAACCAGATAGCATTGTACAAACAAAGTAAGGTCTTTCGGGTTTCGTTTGGTAGGTTTTTTAACATTTCATACATCACACGGTCAGAACCTGGGGCAGAAGTACTGCAGGAGTTTAGAGATGTTCGGAGCTCAGCTAGACTGAAAGCTTGGTTATATGCCTCGTATCTAGTGCATTTGTGTTCGAGTTTCTGTTTTTCTATTCTTGTTCTGTACTTTTGGAAAGTGTCAGTAAAGTGGGACGAGCTGGACACCTGTTCGAAGTGTGCACCGAGGAAGTTTGCGTGATCTTCCAAGGTATCACCCTGAGTGTTTACGAGCGGAAGTGTGTGTACTTGTTTTCCTGCTATCCTACCGACCATGTTCCAGACTTTAGCCTCCTGTGTGTATGAATTGATCCCTGACCAAAACTTCTGCCAGCCTTCTCTTCTGGCCTGCCGACGCGTTCTCTTGCCTTGAGACTATCTTCTTGAAGGTGTCAAGGTTTTTGGCTGTTGGTGAGTTCCGAAGCAACCTCCAAGCTCTGTTTTGCTGTTTGCGCGCGTTTCGGCATTCAGTTCCACCATGGGACACGCCGTTTTCCAGGGTGTGCATTTGTTTGTGGGATGCATTTTGTTGCAGCATCAATCAAAAACGCTGTGAAGTAGATGACAGCAACATCAATGTTCAAAGTACATATGTCATTCCAACCTAGACGAGCGATGGTATAAAACTGTTTCCAGTCGGCTCTGTTTATGAGCCACTTGGGAACACGTGGTGGACACTCAGTTACTGTAGTGCTCAAAACTACGGGGAAGTGGTCACTTCCGTACAGATTACTGACGACTTTCTACTGGAGTAGAGGCACAAGAGATGGAGATACTATGCTTAGGTCTATGGAGGAGTAGGTGTTATTAGCGAGATTATAATAGGTTGGTTCTTTTCGATTTAGGAGACACGCGCTCAACGAGAGAAGGAACTGTTCAATCAGTCAGCCTCGCGCGTCATACCGAGAATCACCCCATAGCCTGCTATGCGCATTAAAGTCTCGAAGGAGAACATAAGGCTCCGGAAGTTCATCAATTAAAAAGTGTAAATCACGTTTTTGCAGCCGATAGCTAGGAGGAATGTAAATAGTGTAGATTGTGATCAGTTTATCAAAAAGAACCGCTCGAACAGCCACTGCCTCAAGGGATGTTTGGAGTTGTGTGTGCATGCAATTCCTTGATTCATTAATGATGGCAACACCTCCAGATGATGTCATGGCATCATCACGGTCCTTTCGAAAAATAACGTATTTACTAAGAAAATTTGTGTGTTTTGAATTAAGGTGTGTTTCTTGTACACACAGCACTTTTGGTGAGTGTTCGTGTAAGAGTTCTTGAATGTCGTCAAGGTTTCCGAGAAGGCCCCCGACCTTCCATTGTATAATTTGAGTGTTCGTGGTGAATGTAAAATAGTGCTGTGTGTACGAAAAGCGAGTGCCTGTTTAGACAGGGAGTTTGAGTTCACTTAACAGGGCCGTCACCAGGCCCTGTTATCTGCTTTTTTGTTTTCTTGGCGCGCTCCAAGGAGCCACGCCGCTCTTTCGACACCAAGGGTACCAACGTATCCATTGCCTCCTCGGAGGCACTGGATGCCCGCACATGCGGGCTTGTTAGTTCGAATTTTGGTCCTCGCCTGGTGAGGTGAGGCCTTGAGACCCAAGGACTCTGGAGTCTCCGGTCTCGGTTTGGGAGTAGGCGGTGTAGCCTGGGCTACAGCCGCCTTGGGGGCAGGTGCCACAACCGCCGGCTCGGTATGCGCGGGCCGAAGGGGTAGCGAGGGCTGGTGCGGCGGTGCCCCCTGACGCGCATCAGCGTATGTAGGTCCGTAGAATGGAGCGACTCTTCGCCGTGCTTCCTTAAACGTAATGTTCTCCTTCACCTTCAACGTAATTATTTCTTTTTCTTTTTTCCAGTATGTGCAGGAGCGTGAATATGCGGCATGGTTTCCTTCGCAGTTTACACAGTGTGGCGGTTGTTTGCAGTTCTCAGACACATGACCTAGGACTCCACAATGTGCACAAGCTGGCGACCACGACAGGTTTTAGGGCCATGGCCATACCTCTGGCATTGGAAGCAACGATGGGGGTTTGGTATGTACGGCCTGATAGATGTCTTTGTGTACCCTGTTTGAATAGATTCTGGTAGTTTACTGGATGCAAACGTGAGTATTAAGTGTTTTGTCGGTGTTTCCTTATTATGTCTTCTGATGATAATTCTCTGTACATTAGTGACATTTTGGCTCTTCCACCCCTCCAAAAGTTCAGTTTCGGTCGGGTCAAGTAAGTCTGCGTCAGATACCACTCCACGAGTTATGTTCATAGATCTGTGTGGTGTTACGGTTATTGGTACGTCACCAAATGTTGAGAGGCTGCCTAGCTTTACAAATTGTTCTTTGTCCCGAATTTCGAGGAGAAGGCCTCGCTAGCCATTTTGGTTACTTTGTATCCAGCCCCGAGAGTTTCAATAAGACACCTGGCAACTACGAATAGAGATTCGTAGTTGCCAGGTGCTGGCTTGCTTTCCAGTTTTCTCGCAGTGAATGACATAGAAGTTGGGAAATGTTTCTTTCGGCTGGTTGAATAAATTTATATCATCGGTGCGTACCCGCTTTAAGCCGGTACAATCAGACAGTAGGGGGAATGCTCCATGCATGCCCGTCTTATTTTTGTTCAGCAGCGTTGGCGGCCACTCACCACGGAGCCCAACGAGGGGACGCAACAAGTTTGCGGATGCTGAAACCTGCAAACGTCGGCCGTACAACGCCACTATAACCCAATGCGCCTAGGCCAAGGTAGGCTATTTGCACAGGGTTAACCCTAGCCGCCAGGAAGTTTGGAAGAAAACGGAAGAGACTAGAGGACAGGACAGATAAAAAGTGAGAGATAAAGACGAAGATGTAGGGAGAGAGAGAAAGGAAGAGGCGACTGCCGATTTCCCCTGGGTGGGTCAGCCCAGGGGTGCAGTCAACGTGAAGCCGGGGCCAAAGGGGTGTGTTGCCTCTGCCGAGGGGCCTTAAAGGTCCAATCACCCAGCGTCAGCTCAACCCCCAGGATCCCCTTTTCCCCGGACACTGCAAAGCCACGCACGGCTAGGCGTGGGAGAGAGCCAAAACTCCCCCGTTAGCTCGGGTCTCCTAGCGATTTCTCCATGTGCTCCTAGCGATTTCTCCATGTGCTTTCAAACTTCCACCTAAGCTTCATGACCAGTAAAAGTATTGAAGGACTACGATTAGACTAATACAGAAGTTTCAAGCCGTATGCTACAAGCTTTTGAAAGCTTAAAGCGGTACCGTCGCAAAAACTTTGGGCTCTCGTTTTTCTCCAGCAATGTGTTGCTGGGAGCCTATTAGTCATAACACGACCCATTGTTTGCTGCAGTTCATGACAGATAATTAATTACAAGCCCTTCATTATCGACCAGTTTCAGTTTTGGTTTGAGAGAGCTCCAAAAACGAGAAGCTACCGGGTGCAACACTATCGCCACTTAGTGTGTGCAGCTTTCGACCACGTCAGCATACAGAACTGTTGCACACTTCCGCACGGTCCGCATCAAGAATTACTTTCGAACAAGAAACGGGATTGCAGTGTTGCCACAAAACTTTCAAAGCGTGCACCACGGCCAAGCACTCGCAACAAGCTGCCAAGAAGTGTAGACTGCAGGAACAAACGCGGCAGAAGAAAAATGACTGCTATGACGTTGTCATAACTTGTTTTATTGACTGCAGCGTGATGACGCCAGGAAAGTTGGGGGTCCCCAAAGGGTCCCCTTCGAGGGTGTCAATGGCACGATGAAGTCTAGCGCTCCCGCAAACTTCAAAACTAATTTAAAATACCTTCCAAGCTACACTGGCTGTTGATATATTGCAGATGATATACAAGTGTTCACGAAAATCGACTCCGCATCTTATCTCGGCTGCGAAATTTCGTGTCGGCACCCCTTTAACAAGGTCAGAAACCTACAAGTTGCAAGTTCCCGGGGAACAAAGAAAATTGAGCAAAATGGCATTAAAGAGGCCCTAAAGAGCAAAACCATTTTTCGCGTATTAGTAAAGTACAATTTCACAATCCCAAACCAAAAACACCACTCTTATTGCGACATGACATTAAACAAGTGAAAAAAAAAAACGTGCAAAAGAAATGTGGGGATAGGCTACTGAGATTCCTGTAGCAAACACCGTGACGTAGTAAATTGTGAAGGTCTACTGGACCCCACATAGCTTCAATTTGATAAAAATTAGGTCATTGTTTTTTGTGGGTGCCCTGGACCTAGCATACAAAGTGTCGCATATTTTCGCAACAATAGCTCAATTAAATTTCCTGAAAGCCATTTTGAAATTTGCTATGTCATGTGCGAAGATTTCCGCTTTAATTTTTTAAAAGTGAAACTTCGAACTTTGATTTACTCTTAATAATGACCTTATGACAACGACACTTGTGGCATTACAGTTCACAGAGTGCAGTTTATCAATCTAAACCAAGTCACTGTTGTTTTTATAGTATCCCTTTAAAACAAAGCTTTGAAAACAGCGTTGGAAAAAAGAGGAAAACTGCGAACAACATTGGTTGGAGTTTAGTGTACTTGGGCGCAGCTGGTGCCAGCTGATGCACTGCTGGCACCCATAAATCTCGAACCTAATGAAGCAAAACTACAGAATGAAATGTTGAAACAAGAGTGAACCTGCAGGCTTTTTTTTTTTTTTACAGCTCCATTACCTCTTTGAGAACTGCTCTGTACACGTGGTCCTTGCGCCCATCTTTGAAGTCAAGCCTCCTTTTGATGAAAAATCCCCCCAGACCTCGCAGCAGTTGCCTGTTGAATAAAAATACAGTTAACAATGGCCTAAATAAAGCATATACAAAATATGACCACAATGAATGCCAGTGCTTACCCAAAAAGAGGGATGAGCAGATTATCTCCAGCAGCCACAAGTGGCAGCCTCATATCATTCAGGTATAGCAGGTACGTCACAAGAATGTAATCAAGATGGCTCCGATGCAGAGGTAAGTATACCATGGGAACATTGAGCTAAAAATAAACACACAGTAAGTACTGGGTATAATGCTGATGTTTCTCACTCACCTCTGAGGCACGTTTGATCATGTCTATTTGCCCTCTCGGCACATACACTCCAGTCAACATGCGGGACATGATACGATGCATGAACCACACTGCTACCCTAGAACCATTACCAATTTTCGTCAAATTGAAAAGAGACAGAAAAACTGAGCATGCAAATACATGCTCCTGGACACACTACTATTAACCAGGTTTAAGGAGCTGAGCAATGAGCAATGATCACCTGAGCAATGATGTAGAAATTGACGCCCGCATACGTTCGAAGATGCAAGCGGCCCGTTTACTATGCACTGCTTGGTCAGCTGCAAGGCATTCATTTTTTAAGCTCAAATTTGCTGAACGAACACAGGAGATGAGCAAAAGAAACTATGTGAAAAGCTCACTTTCGGGGTCATCTTCAACAGCTCGGCTGATTGCATCTTTCACCCTGTAACAGCAAAAAATGGCGTAAATACATAATTAAAATGTAAAGAAAATCTTTATATATACTTATTTACCTTTCAGAAGTCAAGATTTGTTTGGGAATAGGCATGTAATGATGTGGTATTCTCTTGCAAGTAAGATAGATAGAGTTCTTCAGAAGGTCTACCGGTGTCAGCCAACCCCTACAATGAGACAATAAAAAAACCAATTTTATTAAGGAACAAACAGATGCAAACACTAATAAAAGCCGAAATAGTGACACTACCTCCAAACAGGCCGTACAACGAGGGCATTGTCAAGTTCTTTACAATTTGCAACAAACTTTTCCTGAAATGTATTGAAACATGATATATACCACATATATTGAATTAGCATGAAATGCTACACAGTGTGGAAAATAATCCTGTGAAGGGATATCTTCCAGCTGACCCCGAGACCAGACAGACGTTTGAATACACATAGCTCAAAAGTATAATATCTTGCAACAGATGCACTCTACAGGTGAAGCTACCGAATAAAGTCACAATATTATGCTCCAGACCGACAGCACTGAGCAAAGGCATGCCCACACAATTACCTTAACAAGTTTGCAAGAATAGCTCAATACAGCACAGCCAAGATACACTGCAGAACTCCACACTATAGGTGCATAAGTGACATATGAGAAGCCCCAATATTAATGAGAACCAACGGACAATGATGCCATGGAAAGTGTAGAGGATGTTATTAGAAGTCATCGCAACATAAATGTGAAGAAAGAAAAGTGGAAGGAAAGATAACCTACCAATAAAGATAAGGAGGCCTGCCACTTTAACCAAAAATACAAGCAAACATGATTCCTACCTTGCTCATAGGCACACACTTATAACAGCTTTCAATAGAACAGCGGTGCAGATGATCAATGTGCAGATGATCAGCGTGCCGCTGAGGCTCCATAGGCATCCACTCTTTGAAATACGCTCGGACCTGAAATGCACACGCCCTCATTACAGTCAGAAAATAACTCGGCCCAGAGTAATCCCCTCCACTCTTCCCCTTTCACCATCAAGGCTCTTTCTTCCTCTCCTCTGCTGCCAACACAAAACTTCCCTTTTTGCCTGTAGACAATTACAGCTAGTCAACTCAATAATAATACTATAGGAACTGAAGGAAAGGAAAAATTAATTGAAAAAGGTATACAACAAAAGGAGAAAACATTAAAGCCCCCCCCCCCCCCCTCCCAATGCTACAGTAATAAAAAAGCGGTGTCATCTTTTCGAGGAATCCGATATCCCCCCAACTTTTGATCCTGCTTGTACCAGTGGTGGCCATTCATGAGATTTTTCACACCGAAGGCTCAGGCACACAATGTACAAAAAAAGATTCACTCAGAGACATAGAATGTGACTGAAAATACTACACAGAAGCCCTTTTCAAAAGGTTTTAGCAATTCAGGCAAGCAAGGAAAACCGTTTCCAAGCACTGGTAACTTATAATGATTCTCAATAACAAAAAGGGTACACTTCCAATACAACGTTTTCTACTTTTTCTAGGGGTAAGAATGCTTCAAAGACGCATCAAAACTCTAAACAGCTGTTTAAATGGCACAAAGGATCAACCCCAACAGCCACTACAACTGTCCTGCAAAAATTGGCTGACCGAACGAATGCACCAACTACGGGGACAACAGCATGTTCTTTCTCGCTATAGAAATACTTTTCACTCGCAACCAACTGCGCCGACGCCGACTGATGGCAGAACTTCTGCGAAACGAGCTCTTTACCGCTATGGCGTTAAAACATGATGTAGCATACACACTACCATACTAGTGATAAGAATAGTGGCTGACCTCAAAATTCTCCATCTGCTTCGAAAAGGGAATCTTGGGAACATAAACAGACTCGACACCATACTTGTCAACATTGTAAGCCGAGCTCTGCCTGTGGACCTTTCTTCCATAGCGGTAACTGCCCTGGTCGTGCCCCTGGCCAGTAAAAGATGTGGAAGAGTCTTTAGCATTAGGAGGCGATCTGAAATTCCACACTGTGGAAGCATCTTGCAGGTTCTGAAGCAACTTCGCCATCAGGGCCCTGCAAGCATAACAATGTAATTGCATGAAGCACTGTATTTGTATGCTTATTAATTTACTAATCAGCAAAAAAATCTTTAGCTTGCACCAGATAAACAAATTCTGAATTCTATTGGTATTTTGAAACAACTAGTCATGTAAGATGTCTCATGTAAACCACACTTAACATCGTATTTTCATTAAGCACTATCAGCTGGTCCCATCAGTGACTGCACTTCATCAGCACCTTCACAAGCCATATTCAAGAACATGGCCACAGAATTTCAGCATAATCTAGCTTTAATTAAATATGAAAGCACACAGGCACACTTTAAAAACAATGTGAATAACAAAAACACAAGCTTGTAATGAAAAATACTAGGCATAACTAAAAAAGATGAGAAGACAGGAAGGTCAATAAGTAAACAGAGATGGCAAATATTACTAAAAAAAAAGAAGAGACCTGGTCACATCTCATCATGAGGACAGATAGCCAATGGTCAGTGTGTTGAAATGAATACCAAGAGATGAGAAGTGCAGCCAAGAATAGAAAAGGGTTAGGTCATTCAAAACAATTTTTAAATATCGCAGTTAAAAATTAAACTTGGTCACTCGGGACTAAGTGGGTTTGAAATCACTGGAGGAGGCCTTTAACCTTTGGTGGCCATCAATAAGGCTGATAATTATGATGATGACAAGAAGAAAAAACAAACTCGTGACCATTCCAGTCTGATGGTGGAGACCAGTGAAGCTGAAAGGAGCAAAATCTCTTAAGGAAGCTGTCTAGGAGATGCATAGGCATAATTTTACAATAAACTGTGAGCTACCCTAGATGGCATAAGGAGTGAACATGACATCCATTGATCATAGTCGTTCATTCCCGGTGTACTTCGAAGGGTATCAGACCCTGTTTGGAAACTTTGCATCCGCTGGCCGTGGTGTTCTGGACATACTTATAGAGTTTATAGAGGCAGTCATGTTCTGGACATTGTCGAATTCCGTCATGTTGTCGAATTCCACCAGTGATCGATGCTCATCGGCCAAGTCAGCTGCTACGATCTCCGTTGGCTACAGTGCCTTCTAGCCACTGTAGATTGGCTTAAAATGCCGCCATTACGAAATTTGACAATATGGCAGAATTAGACGGTGTCCAACATAGCACCCCGGGGCTAACTAGGAAGCGACTTCGTGCCTTATTCCAACATGGCCACCTTTCGAATGGACGTCACGCGGAGGTTGGCAGCTGTTGAGTTTGCTTGCACGCCATAAGCGTAGCATTTTGTGAGACGCATTGCCTGCCAAAGATTCCTCGACCTGCTTTTGTGACCGATGAAATCCGACGGAGTTGTACGACGAGGAACAATTCCACGCTCGATACAGATTTTTATTATTTCACAATACTGCAGGCCAATGTGCTGGCCCAAGCAGGAGTGGATACATCAAAACGTAATTGTAGAAAACAACAGACAACAATGCAAAAGAAAAAAAAAGGTTAAGAAAGAAGGTGACGCTCAAGGTCACCAAGAAACTTATTAGAATGAAAGATGTCACATGGCAAACAATTCCAGTCATCGACAGTTCTAGGAAAAAAACTATATTTAAAAGCATTTGATCGGGCAAAAATTGGGGTTAGAGCATGTTCATGACCATGACGAGTACGTCGTACTGAGAGCGGTTTAACACAGTCAGGGAGATCAATTTTTACAATACCACACAAACAATTGTAAAGAAAGGAAAGACGACTGAACTTTCTCCGAGCTTCTAAAGTAGAAATGTCGTTTAATTGCATTAAGGTGGTCGGGGAATCAAACCTACGATATTTGCCAAAAATAAACCTTACAGCCTTTCTGTTAATACGTTCCAGATTCATAATATCTTTCTTGGTATGCGGATCCCAGATAATAGAAGCATACTCAAGCTTAGAACGAACACAGGCATTATAGGCTAGAATTTTAGTACGCGAGGGTGCAGATGCTAGTTTTCTTTTTAGAAACCATAGCTTACGTAATGCAGAAGTGGTAATGTCAGTTATGTGGGGTCGACCAAGTTAATTTGCTTGAGAGTGTGACGCCCAAGTACTTATATTTGTCTACATTATTTATGTTAGTGCCTCTTAGAGTATAGTGGAATTGACTAGGACTTAGCTTCCTGGTGATGCGCAGAAGCACAGTTTTGTTAGTGTTTAACTGCATGCCCCCGTTCTGACACCAGTTATCGATAGCGATAAGTGCATCTTGTAAAGCCACATGATCACACGGTGAGGAAATTTGCTTAAAAATGACGCAATCATCCGCGAACAAACGCACAGACACATTTTCAGGAATAAGAGAAGCTAAATCATTAACATAAATTAAAAACAAAAGTGGCCCTAGCACGCTTCCTTGTGGGACTCCAGAGGATACACGAAGAACAGTCGAAGAATTACCAATCACTACATACTGACGTCTATCTTGAAGGTAAGCCTGAATCCACAGAACAATTTTTGTAGGTAGTCCAATACGCTGTAATTTGTGTAACAATTTCCCGTGTGGCACTTTATCGAAGGCTTTACAAAGATCTAAAAACAGTACATCAGTTTGCCCAGAAACATCAAGCACACGTGCAAACTCATGGACAGTTGTAACTAACTGGGTAACAGTAGATAACCCCCTTCTGAAGCCATGCTGATGCTTTGATAGAACATTGTGTTCACTGAGAAATTCATACACGTAATTAGAAATAACGTGCTCAAGAAGCTTGCAACAACTGCTCGTAATAGAAATAGGGCGGTAATTCTCAAATGATAAGGGGTCACCTTTTTTATGAATTGGTTTCACACGTGCTATACCCCAATCAGCCGGTATTTCCCCCGTAGCAATTGAAAGATTAAAAAGTCCAGTTAGGAGATCAAGTTGTAATAGCATGTGCAAAACGCCTTCTTGCGTCACTAATAGGTCATTGTCTGAGTCAACGAATGAATTCTCAAGTTCATAATCATCGGTTTGAGAAAAAACGCTCTGGAAGTATGTATTAAAGTGTTCAGCAATAGTTGGAGCATCAGTTATTATTACACCATTAACCTTCATTTTACTACTCCCTGTCTTAGACTCGCTTAAATACCTCCAAAATTTTTGAGGGCTATTCTGAAGAAATTCAGTCAGCGTATTACTATAAAAAGTGTTTCTTGCTTGTGCCAAGCTTGTTTTTAGTTTGTCTTTCAGTACGTTAAGCTGGGGTGTCATTGGCACATGCTTCTTGCGAAGCCTTTTAATTTTACGCTTCATGTGGATTATTTCACGGCTAATCCAAGGGTTTGCACGATGCTTATAAGTTTTTCGACACGGTACAAAATTTTCAACACAATGACGTATGGTTCTAACAAGCAATTGCCAAGAGGTCTCAACATTGTGTAACAAGGATCCGATATGCGTTTCAAGGTAGTCAATTATAGCTACATCATTCGCCCTAGTAAATTCCTTTATAAGTGTGGCAGGCTGAGTATTTTTAGCATGATGTAAAGCCTTATTCCAAGTAAAAAAAATCAGTTTATGATCAGAAATGCCCGGTTCGATTGCAACATGGCCATCAGAAAATATTTCACTTAGAAAGAGTAAATCCAAAATCGACCCGCTTCGAGTACAGACATCCACCGCTTGCTTGAGGTTGAGCAAAAACATGATGTCAAGAATTGAGTCACCCGAAGGAGAGCAGCCATAGCTTAAATTATCCCAAACAATAGATGGCAAATTAAAATCACCTGTTAGCAAGACGTGTTTCCCGCATAAACTTAGAAGTCGATCATATAATTTCATCAAAAACATATCATCTGCATTAGGTGTACGGTAAAGAGCACAAAGAAAGAAGGTAACATGGTCAAGCGATATTTTCAAAAATATGCTTTCATGATCAGCAATTTGATCGGCGAGACAGGCGTCAACGGAATCTTTTACAATAACCGCCACGCCCCCACCACGAGAGCCTCTATCCCGCCTAAAAACTTGATATCCAGGCGGCACAATTTCGTTGTCACTTATCAGACCATGTAGCCAGGTCTCGGTAATGACGCAAATATGTGGGTCATATAAAAGAAGAAGATTTTCAAGCTTATCGATTTTGTTAGCTAGGCTTCTAGCATTAAAAGATATCAAGCGAAGCTGGAACGTTGGGAATTGCTATGCCTTAGCGGGGTGCTTTTTAACCTTTGACAGCCATTGACGGGAGTTTGAAGAGTCGTTCCAACTGAAAAGGTCGGTACCAATACGGAGCCTATCTTCAACAAGAAATACATTTTTACCGGCATCTTTATCTGCCTTAGCTGACTGCCAAAGCGATTTACATTTCCGACGCGTTTCCGCACAGTAGTCGTTTTCAATACTAATCTTGGAGCCCTTAAGTTTTGAAACGTTTTTCCAGATAGCCTGTTTTTCCCTGTAGTCTTGGAAATATAGAATTATCGGCCTGTTATCTTTATTGCGTCCAAGCCTGTGAATACGAGCGACAGAAGAGCAATTCACACCTAGCTTATTCCCGAACAATTCATCAATAACCTTACGTCGCAGATCGGATTCAGTTTCATCCTGCGATTCAGCAATACCAAAAACTATCAAATTCGATCTGCGGGTGTAGTTTTCTAGGTCAATGAACTTCGCGCTCTGAGTTTGAACGGCCTCTTGAACAGTTTCAACGGTAGTGGTTAGTTTTCCATGGGTTTCGTTAACATTAGCTTCAAGGGCATTTAGGCGCACACCAAAACTCTCGATCGTTTTTTCAGTACCTTCAAGACGAGTTTTTAAATCGGCTATCTCTGCCTTGATTTCCCTCTGTCCATCCAGGATTGCCTGAAACATTTGTTCAACAGTAGGACCAGGATTTGATTCCACGTCCCCACAGAGAATAATTTTGCATGAACAGTAGCACTCATACGCAATAAGAAAGCAGGTGCGTGGGCACGGCAGAATAACAAGAAATCTGTTGTCACTACGTATTGAACATTCGTATCTAACCTGTACGATGAAGAAACGAAAAGCCGTGAGCCACATGTTC